TATATATACATACATATACATACATATACATACGTGGCCAAGGATGAAATCCACCTTGAGCTCCCTTCTCCAGGCTGAACACTCCCAGCTCTCTCAGCCTCTGCTCCTGGTACGCCCCCTGCTCAAGGCCTTTCATCACCTTCCCGGCCCTTGGGTGGACTCAGTCCAGCCTATCTGTGTCACCCTTTTATCTAAGCACTGGACCCAGCCCTCCAGCTGTGTCTCAGCAGGGCTGAGGAGGGGACAGGGATCACCTCCCTGAACCTGCTGGTGATGCTCTGCCTGATGCAGCTCCAGAGGCTGTTGGCCTGCTTTGCCAAGGGGCACATCCCTGGCTCACGGACAGCTTGTTCCACAGATCCTTCTCTAGGGAGCTGCTTCCCACGCAGCTGGGTGCCTGGGGTGATTGTGGGATTTCCTTTTGTAAAGCTGCATGAGGTGCCGCTTGTCTGGTTTCCTGACCCCGTCCTGCTCCCCTTGGGTGGCAGTGCCCCCAGCCGGCCTGCCAGCCACTCCTCCCTGCTCTGTGTCACCTGCAAACTTGCTGAGAATTCAAAAAAATTGGCTCCAGTATTTATTATAGAAATGCCTACTAAGAGCTAGCTTTTGATATCTCTGGGCACACTTTAAAAATCCCAAGGGGTTTGGTTACTTCCTGATCATGTTTGAGATGGAATCTGAGCTAAATGCTTCCCCCTGCCCCTGCTCAGCACAATAATGCTCAGAAACGAGTATGTCAAGACCCAGAGGGTAGGTTCTAAGTTAGAAGTAGGTTCTAACTAATGCAGTATGTAAACTGTGTTTTAAGTGTGTTTTCAGGACAGATTGGCTGAGAAAAGGGAATCTGTGCAGTCTTTGGGGTGTTTGAAAGCCTTCAGTTTTGGGTAGCAGAGTTAGAATTGGGGGGAGAATAGTGCTGAGTATTAAGTTTCCCACTGAATAAGCTGTTAAAAAGATGAGAACTTCAGGTAGGTAATTGAGACTTAAATCAATTGATGACCTGTAAACCGATTTATATATTTTGGTATTAGTCTTTGTGCTTTTATGTTTAGCCTGAGACACAAAGCGATTGTCAAGTTGCTTTCCAACTAGATGAAGGTGATATTTTAGCTCATCAGTACAAAGTTTAGGGTTTTTTTTTATATAGACTGTCATATGAATTCCATATTATAGCCATATTCTAAAGATCTCCTTCAGTTTCAGTTACTTTGCTGTGGAAAAATTGAATTACTAATTATATATTCCTCATCTAGTGAAAACTTTAGTAGTGAAAGCACAAAAATGGGACTGTCTATTTTAGTGTTCTTAAAACCTAGAAAAATAAAATTGTTAGGGCAGAGGTGGTAAGTTTTCTTTCCTCCATCCAAGTGCAGGGAACATAGGCCAAACAGCTGATGATGGAGTTGGCTTCTTCTGCAGCAATATGTTAACTATTTTCTTTGGGTGCATTTACACTGAATGCCATCCAGGGCAGTGGCTGTCCGTCAAGTTATTGTGGCCACAGTGATGCTTGTCTCAGTGGTCTCCATGCTTAGCTTGAATCAGGCAATTTGATCCAGCTCTTTTCAGTCTGGCCTTTGGCCCGTGATTGAATACTAAGCTTTAACCAAACAATTGTATTTAGTACCTCTGTTTCAAGGCATGAGAGGGTGGTCAGGGCACAACATAAGGTAGAGGCTTAGATAGCTAAAACCAATAATTTACTTCCTTTGCTCTAATGTGAATGTCTCATATAGCTTTGTTATAAATTACAGCGTTAAGGCTTCCTAAAATAGCAATTATGGATTCTAATGGGGAGGTGAAATCAAACTCTGAATTCCTAAAATATAAAGGTACACATCGCTTACCAGATTGCTAGAGCAGGCTCACTTCACTATTGCTGTTGTGCGTACTTATACTATAAAAATTACATTGGATAGATGCATAAAGTTTTTGCCCTTTGAGTTCATGTTTGGCGTTCTTTTTTTTTTTTTTTTTTTTTTTTTTTTTTTTTTTTTTTTTTTTTTTTTTTT